AAAAAAAAGTAAGTTTTATATGTATAAAAGTAGTAGATGTTTCCACATGTAGTAGCAAAAACTTTGTTTTCCAACTAGCCTGAGTCAAATTTCTACTCTCTGTGAGATTACACAGAGCATAAATTAGCACTTAATTAGGCACTAATCGACTTGGAATACTAACAGTCCTCAGCATTTGGCACACCCTTCCTTAAATCCTTAGTCCACAATCTATTTTGGATGGGAGAATGAGACTGAAATATTAACAACTTTTTGTTTTGTTTTAATGACATTTAAGAACAACTCCTCAGGAAACTTTTGTGGTAGAAAGAAGGGTAACAGCTTAGCTTCTTTGCTTATTTGCAGAGAATTATAAGCAGAATTGGTGGCATCCATTTGCTCTTGTAAAGCCGTGGGCTGAGTTTATTATTATTATTACAGTAGCAGAAGTGCTGGCTGAAAACAGCAAGTGAAGGGAAACAACAGTTTTCAACAGTGGCTGCCCAGGAAGAAAATACTGGTGCTTGCTTCCATTTGCTTGCAGCCTCAGTTAAGTCTTTCACTCTGTGAGTTTTAGCCAAGAAGGAATTGTAGATTCTTGCTGTCATGGCTCTCCAGGCTGGTTCTCAAAAGACCAAATTTCCTAGAGAAACTTCTTCTGTAGAGCCTACATTGCTGCTGACTTGCTGTCTTTCAAAGGGGTGAATGAGAGTTGATGTTAGGTTAGCAAGAATGGTCTCATACAGCATGCAGTAGCCAAGCAGACTTCTACTTTAGTATTTTATTAGGGTACTTTCAATTTTGGAGTTAAAATCAATAATGATGACACTTCCCAAGAGCCAGCTAAGACACAAGAACAAAGATTTGGGAGTCTTCGCACATCAGCATCACACCCAATTTATAGTATAAATCAGTCATGATCCTATGTATTTATTAAAGGGGAGGGGCATCATTAATGAAATTTAGTTAGGTTCTGAGATTTTTTTCAAGAGAAAAAATTGTGTTTGTTTTTTTTTTTTTAATGTACAGCACATTGTTTAGAGAAAAGAAGGAATAACAGAATATTCTGCTCAGAGCCTTCCAGTCACCTGCTCTTGGTAAATCATAATAAACTGGTATTGAGCATATAATTGGTTACAATAGAAGACACAAAAATCATGTTTACAGTGTTGTCCAAAATTTTTCTAAGTGTCTAGTTCCCTGTCTACTTCAAGTGCTACAAATTCCACACTATGTTCAGGCATCACTTCAATCATCCTGATTATTATTCCTGCTTTCTTTGATAGCATCAGAATCTAATACTGTTTCTGCAGTGTTGCTTAAAATTTCCTGTGACATTCTTAAAAATGCTTCAACTTTCATCTGAGAAGACGGTAGGAACCTCTTCCAGAACACCAAGTGATCCCTGACCATTGCCCAAATTCAGGGTGAGAAAAGAGAATTTTTTTAATTGCATAAAAGCTGAGTAAAATGCTGTTTTATTGATACATGATACATTTTCCTTTATTTAAAATTATAAGTATTCCAGATTTTAAATTATGTATTATTTATTTTATTTTGGACACTACACTAGGAATATCATTCCTTCAGTATTTGGGTTAATGCTAAAAAAATGTGTATATAAATACGGTAATTGAACAGAAGTGGGATGTATCGCAAAGAAGAATGAAAAGATTTTTGGTTTAGAAAGGAGATGTTTGGAATTAAATTTCAGAGATATGGACATCTTCATCGTATGTTACTTTTTAACATAATGATAAAAATGTAGAAAATAAGGTTTGCTGTAGATATACGTACAGTAGAAAAATACATTACCTAATACCTCTTCCAACAATAAAATGAAAATATATGGTTCAGTACCATTTAGAAAATAATTGTTAAAATACTTCTTTTGTTTAGTAATAGAGTGAATGTGTGTTTGATTTCCAAGGGAACTAAACTCCAGAGCACAGGCCAGAAGGGAGCTACAAGGTGGTCTAAGAGGCCTCTGTACAGAGACATCCAGGGTACACAGATTGTGTACCATGCCATGGAGCAGACTTCCCTCTAATATAAACACAGCTTATTAGTACACACAAAAAAAGCCCCAAAGGGAAAGCATTTATCCCTGTTTTTCCTAGATTCCTTCCTGTACACCTTTTAAATGCATTGGTTGATTGTACCAATACAATTTCCTCATTGTGGCCATTTACACCCTGCCCCTGTGGTTGGATCCATCTGCTGAAACCTCCTCAGGGGAGTGGGCTCAACAAAGAGTCTCTGCTAAGGGTGCTGGTGTGTTTTCCTCATTTTTGCCCATCTTTCATGCAATAGTGATGCTTTCAGCATCACAAAACATGCTTTCAGCTCTGTATTTAGACAGGGTCAACATTCCAGGTTCTACTAATTCCCACTGACAGGAGAGAAACATAAAAACAGAATGTTTCATGCAAGAACGAAGCAGTTTAAACTTTGAAGGCCTCCAAAGTATAGCCTTGGGCAAGAACAAAGGAATTCCAGCAAAACACAAATAAACATCTTATAGTCTAACTCCACCTGTTTCCTTGAATTTGGCAATCCAGGCATAATGAATGCTTTGAGCCAAACCCACCCGTGAAGCTGAGCTAAAAGGTCAGATTCAAGAACAGGTCACCTTTTGGTTGACAACACTTTAACTAAACAGCCTGGTTTATTCCTCTCCCAGCTAATGACAAATGGAAGAAAATCAAGACTTGAAGTATTATTAAACGTACTTTTAAACCAAGACCCAGTCGAAGCATTCAGTGCTGGCCGATGGTTGGGGTTTGTCCTGGCAGGTGAGGTGGGTGCCATCACTGATGCAGAGAAACACAATGGCAGCATTTCTCTCACTGTGTTAACCTGAAGTTTAAACAGGGGGAAGGAAGGTTAGAGCAACTTTCATGATAAATCCTGCAGCACCGAAAGGTGTCTCTCAGTCCAACATGTAAGTGCCTCCAGGTCCTCCCTTAGAGACACTGATTGAGCTGTAATACTGTCTGCTGATTAAAACCCAATAGCTTCCATTACAGATTTCCTCAGGAAGGAATGGAGCTATGCTCAGGCACCTGAGACAAGAACAGTAACAGCCTGGGTTTCCATAACAGCTGGAAGGTGACACATGAGAGAGAGCTTTCAGATTCTGACTTTGTATCTCATTTTATCTCCATCAGTTTGATTCAAATTGCAAACGTATTGGAAGAGAGTAAAAAAAGGATTGTTTTGCAAACATTGGTCACATGTTTTTAAGCTCATGTTTTTAAGCTATGCAAACTGCACGTCGGCCCTGAATAAAGTATATCAGTGCACAGTTAAATGTATTTTAATTTTCTTCATTGTGTGATGATTTGTTAATGTCTCATTTTCTTCATGCTGCAGCACAGCTGGTCTGCAAAGAACCCAGTCGGAAAGACTCCAGTGGCAATATTCACATTTAGCCATCACCTAACAGTCTTACAGAAATGTAGAGTAGGACTCTGCCTCCACTGACATCTTATAGGGGGCTTGATTTTGTAGACCTTTGCCATAATTTCTATTGGTTTCAGTGGAAAGGTCTGAATAGGGACTACAGAAGTAGAATTCCTGGAAAGGAGAGTCTCTGGAAAGCGTGATCTCTGGCACACGCTTCAGGCAGCTCACAGCTGCTTATTGCTCCCACATTTATTAATCCCTCAATCTTACAGACTGACAACAAATAATCTAATAATGTCACTTGTATTGTTACAGGCATAAATGAGCTTTAGAGGATTACATCCTTTAGTAATATATTTTTCACTGTATTTTTTCTTAACTTAATATGCTACTAGGTGAAAACTGGGGTTTTTTTACAGTCTCTTTTTCATCATTTAATGTAATAATTACATAAAAAATTTAATCTCAGCGCTGAAAGAAAATCAGCTGTTACTTTCACTATCAGGAGTTCATCTCTCAAGATTGAGAGCATCAGATATTTACACCTGAGTATGAGCCACTGGGAGGCTATTTCTGTCAATCACTCTTTATACATACAGTTTGGGATTACTGAACAAACCAAAAGCAATCAAAAGCTGTAGTCAAACCAAAATGTTTAATGCAAAACAGTCCTACAGAGACAACATCTTCTCTTTCTTTCTCTCTTATTAGCACACATTTTGCCCGCTTAGAATTCAAGAGCCAAGCAGTGAACAAAGAGTTTCATAATCAGAGTATTTCAAGCAGGTAGATGCAAAAAATTCATCATGTCAATTAAAAAATAAGCCTTGCAGTAAATTTCTCATCAGACAACTTGTCCATCTAAACCCCTGCCTTTCTGTTGTCTTATCTAGCTCGTGTATGTGTCACACCCATTGAAAACTCATCATCCGTGCTGCCAGGATCTGCCTTCACTTACCAATCAGTCACCAAACCATATAGCTTGGAAGGCTGCTTAAGTCTGATTGAGCATCCATGCTTCCTGAGCTCATGCAGTTCAGCTGATGGATCACCAGCTGCCCTAGCAAGCTCCCAGACAGAGGCAAGAGCCGCTTCTTCAGGGCAGTGTGCTGTTGATTCCTTTATTTGCAGAAGCAAAGGGAACATTAATTTCCTAGAGTAACAAATTGTGGTCAGTCCGCAGTGTCTGCGTAAATATGCACACGTACAAGCCCAGGAACAGAGCCTAGTGCTGATGTTAAGGAAATAACTTCTAGTTTTACATAAACAATGAGCAGTTTCAGCTCCAGCTGCTGCTTCTGAGTGTAGCCCGCAACAGAACTCTAAGGTTTCTCTAGTGCCAAGAACAACTCTTAAATCAGCAATGAGAGGCAAGAGTGAAACAAAATAGGTCTTGACACTGGAAAATAACTTGATAAGCAAAATAAGAACCACAAGACTATAATTTGCTAATTACAAGAAGATGTCTGTCTTTTCTCAAAAATACACAATTTCGTACAGTTTCATTCAAGATGACACATAACATGATGCTCAGGCTTGGCAGATAGTGATGATTCCATTTTGTGGAATTACCAAGGTTTCCAAGTTTGGTTTCAGTGTGGAACAAGACCCACCATTTCCTTTGCTCTCTGAAACAGAGCTGGAATGTCACACAGGCAGTGATCAGAGAGGTTCCCAGGCCAGGCTGCTCACGACAAGGTGCTGGGCTCTGCTTCCTTGTGACCCATCATAAGAAAGAACCTTTTCCTCTGGGATGTCTTGCTTTCAACAAGCTGGAAAATTTCAATAAAAAATTGTTTTGCTGGAATTTGCTTTGACAGCTCTAGCGAACATGTTTATAACAATTACAAACTAGTGAAGACTGTTGACTGAGCAGAATGAGGAAAATCAATACTTGATTTTTAAGAGGGAAAGAATAAAGTGGCAAATGGGAAAGGCTGAATTTAATTTCAATTCCCAATTTCTTTTCACAGTACTGTAGAACAACCCAACAACCCAATAACAACAGCCTCAGGTTTATGCTGCAAGTACTGGTTCATAACGACATGCCTGGCAGGAAATGGTTTTCTCTAAATAATCATGCATTCGGGCCATTTGCTCTCTCTTTGCTCTACTTGGCACTGGGGGTGATTTTCATCTCTTCTGATCTACAAAAGTAATCTCTGGAGGGGAAAGGACAAAGCAGAAGGCTGGGGAAAAGGGCCCAGGAATGAGCCCTCGAAGCTGTTTCGGCTGGAGGCAGCGGTCCTACTGTTTAATATCTTGGCGTTTGATTCACTCGTGGTGCCCCCCAGCATTTCACTTGTCAGGTAGATCCAGGCACCCTCAGAGGCTTCTTCCACACCTCAACCCTCCCTGCCCTAATTTAGGTGGCCGGACAAATCACCTGAGCACGCCCAAGAGCAAGGGAAGCCTACCTCCCAGTCCTCCGGGAAGTGGCAGGAACATGTGAAAAACACTCTGGATGGGAAGCAGAGATCACCTTTTGGGTCCAACTCAGATGGTGTAGTTGGGACAAGCGGCCACGTCCTCCCTGCATTCCAGGTTCTCCTGCAAGAGCCCCAGGAAAGCGGCCACAGAACAGACCATGGGCACACCTGCAGCCTGAGGCCGCTCCCACCCCGCCTTCCGGCCACAGCCGGCCGCCCCATCGTGTGATGAGGATTCGGACCCCGCAGGGGCAGGGACAGCTGTAGGTCTCGGTCTCTTCCTCATACGCAAAGTCCTCGATCTCCACCTTGTCGTGGAACACCAACATAGCGGGTGGGGAGGACGGAGCTCTCCTCCTGGGACGCGGCGGGGCCAGTGGGGACTCGCGGGATGTGAGAGAGGGATCGAGGGGATTCAGATTGGGATCAGGGCGAGGAAGGTCAGAGTAGGCCGTCAGAACGATGCATTGATTCCGAGTGAGGAGAGGAAGGAGCCACGGAAAAGTCAAAAAAGTAGCACTCGGTTCTCTGTGTGGAGCAAAGGAAGTAAGGGGGCATTTGGAGTGGCTATTCCTGTACCAGCTAGGGTAAGAAGGGAATAAAGGGAGAACATCCCACCTGACAGGAGCTTGGGAGACTGAAGCAGTGCACTCCATGGAGGGCAGGGAATTGCCAAAGAGCTGGTAGGGTCAGGAAAGCCACAGGGGTGACAGATGGGGCAGAAGCTGTTCTCGTTGGGTAAAGGTGTGATTCACACTTGTCCATGATAGAGGAGAACCAGGGCTCATTAAAAGACATGTTGGAATTTATTAGTTACAGAGTAAAAATGACAACTGATTTTATTCTCATCTTCATGATTGGAGAGTGATTGATGACAATGTAAATGGAACAAGGATCTTGA